CAAATAACTGTATTGGAACACCCTCCCTACTCACCTGACCTGGCCCCCAAATTTTGATGACATTCAGAACATCAAGGGTAATAATACGATGACAGCTCTGATGACCGTTTTATAAAAAGAGTTCCAAAATTGCTTTGAAGGGTGGACTAGGCACTGGCATCAGTGCATAGCTTCCCAAGGGGAGTACTTTGAAGGTGACTGTAGTGATATTCAGCAATAAGGTATGTAGTACTTTTTCTAGGAAGAGTTCGCAAACTTAATTGTCCGACCTCATATCATGTAGATGTAGTACAGAAAATATTTTATATAGCTTGGCATTGTAACTCATTTGAATCTAAAGTACAAGTCCGAAATCTTATTCAAAACCTTTGAGGCCAGATGTGTTTCAGAATTCCAACTTTTTTTGGGGGGTGGGCATGAGTGGCTTTTTAAAAGAGAATAAATTACATATTTGGTATATCACATCACCCACTTGCCCCAGTAGTGTCTGGGGCAGCACCTTGTAATTAAATATTAATATGGTTTCAGTAAAACTTATGAATAGTTACACCCCAGGGGCTAAGTCTTGACCATAAATAGCTTTACATCAATTTAGGTCAGATTTTCAGGCCAAATGAGTCTGCCACACATGTAAGAAAAAACTGTAGGCTGCATAGCTTTTTCATTTTCACAGTGGTGTATAAGAGATAGCTGACCTGAGGTACCCACGTCTACTCTGTGAACTGCCAAAGATCAATTCAGGTTTTGTTGGTAAAAGGGGAAATTTTAATTTAACATTATATTCTATTTAATGGTTTCTTTTTTAAGAGTATGTTTTGTTCTGGTTTTAGCTGCTTTATTAACTAGGTGATTCACACACAGAATGCATTTCAGCCCATTCCGTAATACGCTGAAAGACAAAGATTTGGAGAAAAATGTGCAGCCAGTATCTGCTATCAAGCACCAGGGTATCTGGCATACATTCCATGGCAAGAAAGCCCTCAGCCTTTTTCTGTTAGGAGTACTTGGGGTAAAAGCATTTCCCATTCTATTTTGTGCTATATTATTAATCGAAAGCAGCTTTATTTCCTGCAGCAGTGTTGTGAGGTAGAATCTCATTTCATCTTTTAAGTAGTTAAGCCTGATCATCGCTGAGGTAGGAGGCTTCTGAGAGGAATATGTATGTTTCAAGGAAATGATAGAGGGATTGTATTATGTGGCAATTCTGCTTCCTCTAGAGGTACTTCCCCCAGCCCTGCATTACAGTTGGACATTGTGTATTGAATAATACATAAAACCCAAGGTAATGTCTATGAGTTTCCATTTCATTTTAAAGTATCAGATTTGCCATCTACCTAACCTGATCAAAATATTAATACTTTTGCTTCATGTCCTGTAGTTAGTCATGGTATCTTTTTCTGCCTTCTACTGGTAAGTATGATTAGAAAGCTCTACTAACCCTCTCTCTAGCATCAGTGTATAGTTCAATGTAAATAATGCTAATTATAATGCAACTTGGTTTTAGTAATTTTATGCAATATAGTTAGTGGTATAGAACAGGTGAAAAATAACCCATATTACTCATGATCTTGGTAAGCCATGAAACTTAACGTCATTGAGAAGCCAAGCTCATTTGGAGAAGGTTACCATTATATGAAATGTATGTTGCTTAGTTAATTGTTTGGTTTTCCTTCCTCTTATGAGAGAGAGAGAGAGAGAGAGAGAGAGAGAGAGAGNTGGCACAGAAATTTGTACAAGCATCGAGAAGCCTTTTGTCTTCTATTAGAACTCAGATCCAACATGTTTTGTTTTTCTTCTCTAATCCTGACTTATCTTTTTAAATGGTCATTACCACAACTTTGCCAGTTTATTACTATTATTCATGTCTAACTTCTAAATATTGTGGGGGTTTTTTCACCCTCCAGAATTTTAAGTTTCTTACTGGGCTTGTTAAGAGCTACTAAGCGGTATCTTTCTTCCATTTTTACCATTTCTCTCCTGAAGCAACACAATCCTTCTCACATCCTGCAGTCTAACTGTCCTGCAAATATATACGAGTATATAGTCTTTTTATGGTTTGGATGAAACTTATAATAATAATAACTTGGTTCTCATGGACTGTTTCAAAATATGTGTGAATTGTTATGGAAACAGATGGTTTACTCCAGATACTACTGTAGTGGGCAGAGTACCTCATACTTAGGTACTTATATGTTGGGGGTGTGTTAATTTTCATCTAGTATATTGTAAAACATACTAAATATCTTTTGAGTTTTATTAGAATACCAATACCAGAAGCATTGGTTTTTAATCATTGGACTAATTTGATTATAGACTTGTTAAACACTCTAGCCTTAACTAAAATTGAGTACTTGTTGCCATTTATGTGTATGTATCAAAAGCGATGAAACTCATCTGTATTTATAAATGCTAATTATAGAGATAGATTTATACTTTCTGCAAAACCAGTGGTGGGCCTCAATATAGACTGGTTCAATTCATGAGAAAAATGCCTTTATGGCATAAAATAATTATCAGTGTGGAAAATTCTTGGCTATATGAACCCTGGGTGAGTTTTTATCTCATTGTCTGTTTACCTTGATGCTGGAATATAAAATTATGGTATTTTTGAAATTCATAAATAATACAAGCAAAAGGACAAAAAATGGTATTTAAAAAAAGTGTCATCAGCAAAACTGCAACAACAACTTGACAGACATCCCTAACATTTTGCCCTCAGGTGTTGAGATTAACACAATTTGTAAAAAAGCCTTTGTGTTACCATACACAATTTCCTTATTTGGAAAATATGACCAGTTATACCAGCCTAATTTTAGAAAGATAAATTATGAATGTTGGAGTGAAAAAAAAGCAGAGGAATCAGCCAACATTAGCAACATTATAGAAATTAATTTAAATTTGGATCAAGCCAGGAACATATTGTTTGTAAATGATGAGATTTCTATGTACTTTTGTACAACTGTACCGAGAAGGAATTATACTTACTTGATTAAGCATTGGCTTTGCTAATTGTGGAACTTAGATTTTAAAAAAATCCTTTTAATGAGAGTTTAAAGATATCTGCATTCAAATCTGCATATGTCCCTTCCACAGTAATCTAACTTTTTAAAAAGAAAATCTTATATCTGTTGCTAGAGTCAGTAGAAAATGATCCAAAATGAGTGTAGTTATAACTTACAATTTTAGCAAAATCTACCATTTCCTTAGTATGTAAATGTAATAAATTGAAATGCCATCACCAAGTGTGTATTAGTTTCATATTGCTGCTGTAACAAATTATCATAAATTTAGTAGCTTCAAAGTAACACAAATTTATACATCTGGAGGTCATAAATTCAAAATCAAAGTGGTGCTGACAGAGTTATAATTGCTTCTGGAGGCCCTAGGGGCATGCTGTAAACTGAATGTTAGTCATTCCTCCACCCCCAATTTATATGTTGAACTCCTAAGGTATTAGGTATTGGGGACTTTGGGGGTGATTAGGTTATGAAGGTGGAGCCCTCATGAGTGGGATTAGTTCCCTTAGAAAAGAGATCCCAGAGAGCTCCCTTGCCCTTTTGCCACATGAGGACACAACAGCCATCCGTGAACCAGGAAGCAGTTCCTCACCAGATGTCAAACCTGCCAGAACCTTGATCTTGGATTTCCCAATCTCCAGAACTGTGAGAAATAGGCGTTTGTTATTTAAGTCACCCAGATGGAGGTATTTTTATTATAGAAGCCTGAAAGGACTAAGACAGGGAGAATAATTTCTTACCTTCGCCAGCTTCCAGAATCAGCCTATGTTCCTTGGCTTGTGGCCATTGGCCAGCAAGCCTGTTATTCCAGACTCAGCTTGTCATCACCTTTCTGTCTCTGACTCTCCTGCTTCCTTTTTCCATTTATAAGGATCTTTGTGATTACATTGGGCTCACTCATATAATCCAGGGTAATCTTTCATCCAGAAGTCTTATTTTTATCACAAATACCCTTTTGCCAGATAGGTCTTCATTCTAAACCTCCGTTAATAGGATGTGCTCCAGTTGTTTAAATACAGATGTGAGGCATGGGGCTGACTGTACTCTTAAATCCAGCAGAGGTTCTGGAACATGATTTCTTTCTTTCTTTCTTTTAAGTTTTTGATTAGCAGTTGCTCTGGAGTTATCACCACAGCAGCAGAACTAACACTTCTCTAGTTTAATGTCTCAGTAGATGACTTACCTCCCACTCCATCCACTCTTTTCATCAAGGCTATCTATCATGAACTTGCACTTACCTTAAAACTTACTGGTTCCCTGTTCACACTCCCAAGTTGTTTCAGATGAAGAGTTGAACCTCATCTTTTCTAAAGTTAATGCTGTCATTTGCAGTCAGAAGCCTGGAACTGTTCTTCTCCTGGATATGCATTTATAAATATGTGCAAGTCTTTCCCTTAAAAAAAACAACAAAAAACAAAACCAAAACTTTTTTTCCCCTCTTTTCCCTGAAGCTACACTTTCATCTGGTGAAGCCTTCCTAATTACCTAAGTTCTTTCTCCCGTTAAATGTAGGCATTCCCTGAGTGTCTGTTTTAGTCCACATTTTTCCTTACTCTTTTCCTGACAAATCATGTTTATTCCTGTCACTTCAAGTCTCACTGAGCCCTAACCCCCTTCCTGAAGTTCAGATGTTCCTTTCACCTCCCCATTGGAACTACTCAATGCATTCAAAGACAAACCCATTATTCCATGCCCTACCCCCATTTTGTTAAAAGAACAAAACAATGACCCAGTCAAACACACTCTTGTCTTTCCACTCTTGCCTTTCCCCATGTTGACAACTGATATGATTATCATTTCCCCAGCCATCCAGGCATACATTAGAAAGACACAGCTGCGAGGCTAGAACACCCCAAAGTTACTACAGTCTGAGTCAGGGTAAGGTTGGTGTCAAGTATGTAAGCTTCGTTGCGTTCAGACCCAGAGTTTACTCTGCTTTTAATGTACCTAACCAACCCAATGCGTTTTCCTCATTACACGCAGGTCTGCAGTGAAGGCCTTACGCCCTGGAGGGTTACTTGTGTACTCTACATGCACACTTTCCAAGGCAGAAAACCAGGATGTGATCAGTGAAATTTTAAACTCCTGCAGTAACATGATGCCTGTGGACATGAAGGACATGGCAAGGACTTGCTCCCAAGACTTCACTTTTGCTCCCACTGGCCAGGAATGCGGGCTCTTGGTGATTCCAGAGAAGGGCAAAGCCTGGGGCCCAATGTATGTAGCCAAGTTGAAAAAATCATGGACTATGTGAAATTGGCAGTGTGCATTTTGTGAACCATGTCAGTGTATTATTATATTTATTTTTCCGGCCTCTAAACATGTTAATATTTAAATATGGAGTCACTTTTCTTGGGTCTGTTTGTAATCCTATTTAGTTAATACAATACTTTAGCATCTCAGAATTTAGGCTTGAGAATTTCCAAGGTGTGTATGTTTCCTAGCAATATATCTATAGCAGTGATTTAAGGTGGTGCAGATGGTATTTGTTCTGTATAATAAATCTGCTGTCTTTTACTTGGCATTTTGTACTAAAATTAATCTACATGGTTTTATGCATAAGATGTTTAGAAATGCATTCTATCCATGATGTTGGTACTTTGAGCCATTAAAAATGCACATTCACTGGCCCTCTTATCATTTTTCTCCTTATCAAATATACAGATTCTTTCAGCATTTTTCCCACCTTTTAATAAGAACTGATTGGTATTCTGAGACCAACTTCTTCAGCAGCACTATTTCTAGTTCTAGCAAAATAAGTTTTGCTAAGTTATTTTTCGTTAAGGACCATCTTCTGTTTATTGCAAAGGTCAGTGACTCTATTGACACCAGCTTTATTTTTCCACTTTTTTTGTATTCACAAATACAAATTGAAAGGGTAAATTATGTTGAAAGGCCATTAGAACAGCAGACTTACATGCACATGTTTGACTTTCAGCATTCAGCTTGTAGAATAATGGAGTCTATCCAGCAGGCTATAAAGCAAACACTTGAAACATAACCAAAATGATTAATAACTGCAATAACTGAACTATATTTGGAGAGTTTTGTTACATAATTGCAGTTATAATGAACACTACAGAATCTGATTATCTTACAGTTGCAATCTGGAGGGGCTTTTTATTTCACTCTGTTATGAAATGTTATATGAGAGTATGATGTCACATATTCATGCACAAGAGGGATATGCCTGATGAGAGTGGATTACACTATTCCCAAAACACAGTGTCATATACTGAGTGGCTCTCCCTGTTTACGTATATCCTGGGAATATTGTACACATTTCTGTATATGTACTTAGGGTTTTAGCTTCAGGTTTGGATTGTGTGTTTTCTCTAGAAATTGCTTCACTTAGAGCCCAAACACATTTTTCCAACTATTAAGAAAAATTATACAGCATACTTCAAAAGATTATATCTGTTTGGAAATTAAGCTTTTATAAAAAATAAATAAACTGACTATATAAATGCAAAATTCTGCTAAAGTTGAATCCTTTTGAACCAGTTGTTACATTCTTTACACTTAAACTCGAGACTATTTGCTCATTAACTGTTGTTTGTCTTGCAAGCATATATAACTGGGTTCCTATAACTGGGAAGTCCCAGGAAGAATGGTTTTTCTATACCTTCATTCCATTAACCAGTTTTTTCTTTACACTTAACCAATATGTGTGAAGAAAAGCTAGTTCTCTTAGATTCAATCAAATATACTAGATTGGTACAGAGATTAATGACAATGGGACAGATTTTTATATTTTGTGGGTTTTGTGTGTGTGTGTACTTATTGGTTTGTGTTTTCAATTTGAAATCCTGTCTTTAGATACTGTAGGTTTGAAAAGTACATTTATTCGGTGTAAGTTAATCACAAAGTAAAGTTGCACAGTGCACTGTGTTGAATGTCATTCTTTTCTCAATATAATGCCATAAAGCCTATTCTGAATACTCAGTGTGCCACTGGCTTAGATCTTCCTATAATTACTGAAAGAATGCAACCATATATATATATGGGGGGGTTGTGTGTGTGTGTGTGTGTATATATATATATATATATATATATATATATATATATANTATATATATATACACATATATATATGTATATATATAAATACCAAAAAAAAGGTGCCAAAAAAAAGAGGTGCCAAAAAAAAATGTATACAAGTGGACACTTTGGTCAGCGTTGCTCAAGCAGTAAGTAGTTCGCTGTATTCAGAAGTGTCTGGACACTGATGGTAACCACTTTTGAGCACTTCTTGTAATTGCAGAAGTCAGATGTGACTTGTATTCATCTTTTGTTATTGGTGTATATTATTACAATTTTAATAGTTTTTTCCTTTCTTAAAATGTGTATACATTTTTTGGCACCCTCTGTATATACAGCTATAGATATATGTAGCTCACTTTATTATTAAAAATAATTATAATGAAGCAGCTGACATTTATTAATCATTAAATATTTAAGTTCTTTATGTTATCTTTTTTGGTCTTTAAAACAACTTCATGAGTGAGTATTATAATTGCCTTTTGTGAACAAGGAAACCCAAGCTTAGTGCTATTCATAAGCTTGCCAAGGATACACTGGTAAGTAAAGGGTGGCTCCAAGATTAAAACTAGCTCCAAATGTCAGGCCCTTCTTCCCACACTGTGCTGTCTCACAGGATATAGCTTATAGGATCCCTTAAGGTTATCAACTGGCTTTACCCTTATTCTCCATTGCTCAGTTTTCTACTTGTGCGAAATTCCCTATTCCCAGGGCATTACAGGGTTGATCAATACTTGGGGTAAATAAAATCTTTGAAATATTTCTGGGTGTGTTCTAAGTAAGTACTTCTTGTGATTGTAATACCCAGAAATCTCCCAAGGAGGTATTCTGTGCTTTCCTTTTCTTTGCAGATGCTGAACTGAAGAATAGAAATTTGGAGCAGCCTTGCAATGTCAACGGAACAGCAAGGAGTAATTGGTATTACTTTCTGTGGCATTGAGTTACTTTCACAATAGCTTTATAAAAATTTAGGTTGCTTACCAACAACACATTAACTTCTCTCTGCCATCAACACACTGAACAGCCACTGATTTCAGAAATAGATTGTGAATAAATGTAATGCATTTAAATGATTTGTTCTAAATTTTTAAAGCATCAGGCATTACCTGTGGTTTGGAATTGAGGCAGTCTACAGTCCTTTATCCTATTATGTATGTCCATATAACCTTATACTCAAGATTGCATGTTATCCTCTTAGCAGTATTGTGAAAAATATTCTTTTATACTATGTGAGTAGGCATAAAATAATAGATACCAGATGACTTGCTACGTGACTAAATAAAGTAATCACAAATGTAATAGGCCCTTATCCAACTAGGATTTATCCTGGGAGATAAACATCAGATAATCTTCATAGGCTAATGCAACTCATCTGGAATACAAAGAAAATTGGAACCAGTAGGAATGATTTTATTAGATGCCAGGAAGTCCTTTGATGCAGCTGAATGGAACTACTTGTATTATGTGTTAGGTAAATTTGGCTTTGGGGACAAATATAACAGCACATTTTATTTTCAACCCATTTGTATGGTTTAAATCAATGGTTTATAGCCTCCGTTTCCTTGCCTTATTGCTGCATTGGGGAGGGAAGTAAGGATGATGCTCGTTACTGATGTTACTCTTCAGGATGACTTTGGAGCTATAATACCACCCAGATCCCATGGGTATCTGAAGGATATTCGGATGAAGGTTCATAAATTAACTAATGTCTGCTGATAACCCACTACTTGTGCTGAAAGCCCTGACAGCATCTGTCCTAATAACATTAAAAGTAATATCATAATTTGAAGTGGCTTCAGGCTGCAAAGTCATTGTGAGTGAATCAGAGATACTATTTTTACAAATTAATAAATGAATGTTTTCATATTTTTTGGATAAATGCCCAGAAGAGGAATCACTGGATCATATGGTAGTTATATTTTTAATTTTTTAAGGAACCTCCATACTGTTTTCCATAGTGGCTGCACCAATTTATATTCCTTAAACCTGAAATTTATGTAATGTCATTAACCAATGTTACCTTAGTAAATTAAAAAAAAAGAAATACTATCTTGACAGAGTAGTTTTAGTTAATAGTACATATTGTGTGACATTTAAAATAAAACGAAAAAGAACTGATTTGGGATTCTCATTAGGGAATGCTTAAACAATAGAGTTAAAAAAAAAACAAATTAAAAAAATTGACCTGTAATTCAGTGTTAAGTTTTATAAGAAATAGGTTTTACTAAACAGAGAGGAAGAAAGCCTGGTAGAGTGTATACCGCTAAAATGTAATTAGCTCAATCGAATATTATCTCCATACCTTTCTGTAACTTTTTACAAATGAAGAAAATAATTTCCTTAGTCATGTGAAACCATAGAGTCATGTTGAAACTGTGAAAGTATATGCTACCTTAGGAAAAGTACTGCTTGTCTCAGTGGAAGCTATTTGGTGGAATATGTCATGACTCAATTAAGCTTACTGTAGCTTGTCAAAGGAATTTTCTGCTGCATATTGCTATGGAAGAGCCAATGAATACAACATAGAAAAACTACCTATGTTCTTCAATTAAAAAAATTGCTTTTGTCATATATCCTAGTACAGATAACCTATGCTAAATCAACCATATGAAGTTATAAGAATGCCCATGGGTGCGTTATTTTCAACTACGCAGTTAACTTGACCATATAGAGTTAACAGGTTCCTTTCCCATCCCACAGTATAGAATTGGCTAAAACAACCTGACACAGATTCAGAAGAGGTGATTTTTGAGGCAGGAAATGGTTCAGGAGAGGTTTAAGTGGGACCTGGAACATCACTCTGGGGTATGGTCCACAGTGAGTCAGTCAAGCATGTTATAGAAGCAAAGGACACTCTGATAAGCCTAAAGGGTTTAAGTTGCATGGTCAGTTACATTACAAGGCCCAACAAAGTTAATGTGTTTTATCTATCTGGTCACACCCTCTATATTCACTGAGGATGGTAGCATCTAGTTCTTACCTCCTCTGTTGGAACTCCTGCCACAGGCTGAATTCAACATCTCTATGGAAAACCCATCCAATATCCTACCTTTCTAATTTATTTACTGCCTCTGCCTCAATGACTTTTGTCTCCACTGTCTTCAGCAACTCACACTCCTGGGAATGCTCTAGAACTTGGCATTATCTAGAGCCACACTCTACAGTGGACCTTTCTACATAATGGGAATGTTTTATCTACCTTGTCCAATATGGACAATATAGTAGCCATGCGTGGCTGTTGAGCCCTTGAAGTGTAGCTAGTGTGTCTGAGGAACATAAGTTTAATTTAAATGTAAGTAGCCTCATATGGCTAGTGGCTACCATATTGGACAGCACAAAGCTAGACTTTCTCCTCTTAGGAAAATTTAATTTCAGTACCTTCTGTTCTTCCAGATGTCTTATTTTCATCCTTATTAAAGCTACAGTCCCATTTCCTTGACAACTTTTTAAACCTTCATTCCCTCAGACTATCCTTT